CAAGATGGGACCCCAAGCAAGGAGAATGTTTTGTGCTTCCACCTATCAAGGGATGCTTGCATCATCTAGTCGCTGTATGAACTGACTGATAAGGGTCACTTTTCAGAGCACTGTAGCCTGACAAAATATTGAATTACTCAGTCTTCAATTGCTTTGTCTCTTGAATGTAATGTCATGCATTTGATTTTGCTGTGTTTATTCCCCCCTCCCAAGAATATGAGTTTAATTCTGTGTACACCCACCAGTATATACAAACTGAAGGATTATAGTTCTAAGGATGATGTAAAGTAGATTGTTGTCTAGGACTCACACAAATTTACCAATAAACACCAAAACACAAGCATAATTCATCTACAGCACTTCTCTTACTTTAAAGATTGCATGCTGAGGGTCAAAGTCATAAGCCAGAAGAGTAATGACACTTGCAGCTGTTTACATCACGTTTTGCTGGCCTGCTTGGTAAGACTCCTGAAAAGGCTGTCAAAGAGCTTTTTCTGTGTTTTCTTCTAACTAATGTCTTGGAGAAGGATGCGTCAGGTGGGTTGGTAATTTGTACAGTTGGTTTCAGAAATGTAGTCAAAAATATATCCACTTTTATTCCCCTGTAACTCCACTGTATTAACATCTTCTGTATTACTTCTGTTTGCTTTTCAGAGTCAGATCCTACTCCAGAAATATTAACCCACCTTGGCTTTAAGAGTAGTAAAAAAAGGCTGTTCAGGGTCTGTCAGAATCTGCATGGCAATGTACGTCTATGTTGCTTCAACCAACACAATATTTTCACTCTTCAATGTGTAAGTTCGCACCAACTTCCCCATCATGTCAGTGAAAGAACACTTCAGCATTAAAGAAAAGCTGCAGCTCTTGGTCAATGCTTTGAAAGAGATGCAAGTTACCATGGAAACAGATGACAAAACTGTACAGGAAAGCATCGGCCACACTTCGTGGCTAAGATTCCTGGTCCCATCACCTCCCTGCAGGACAAGACTGCTGCAGTAAAGGAACTTTCTAAGATTTACAAGGGGGCACTAGAAAACATCACCAGTGCACCTATTGCAGTGATGTTGAAATATGACAATTTCCTTGAAGCAGTAGAGTCTGCTATTCAAGAGTTACTGAGTTCACCTGTCTTATCCCTTCAAGTATCAGAACTTCTCATAGTTCTATAGAACTTCTCTGCCAATATTGTGAAAATGCTGCAACAAAATGAGAACACCAAATACCACAGAAGGCAGCTCCTCCTCGAGCTGAACACCGCAACACCTCAGACTTGGCTCTCTACCCTCCTCTTCGCTTTGTGTTTTCCTTCAGCCTATCCCTCAAGAGCACAGATCCATAAAAAAAAGCCTGAAAACAGCAGCTGACTACTCAGAGGAAGCTTTCAGGGTGCTGAAGCCACCTTGTGAAGGATTCCGAGCCTTTGTTAAAATGGTTGAGGCCTGCATCCCAGTGATTGCCCTTTAATCTGGTAAAACCTGATGACATCCAAATTCCTTAAGTGTCTACATTTCTAATGCTAACATTTCTTTTGTACCTAAATTCTGTATTCCTTGCTGCAAGATTTCCAAGGAAATGGGAGCACCAAGCTTATGTGGAGCTGCTTCAAGAGGCAAGCAATTCATATAGGTGTTTTGGGCAGTTCTTACTTTTGACTAACCAGCTGACCAGCAGCTTGTGCAGTCCTGTTCTATTCAGATCTGTTTTGGATAACAGCAATAAGTTGTTGCTTACTGTTTCAGACAGGGAAGTGAATACTGAACTCCAGCTTCCTGCCAAGACCATCAGTGCCTAAAAGCTCGGGTTATTTGTGAAATGTGTCAGTGAGTTTCAGCTCAATTGATGACTCCACTGCAAAGTTAAACCACCATGACTGGTCTTCTTAGATCAGTAAGATACCCCCCTGACCATAGCCTCAAGCCCAGGGCTAGCATCAGTAGGGTTGAAGGACCAGGGGTGAAGAAGTGAGGCATGCTGGAAAGAGGAATTGCAGGCAAAAAATGTTCCTTATCATTTCCACACTGTTATTTTTTGAAGATAGGAGAACTCCATAGCTCTAAGCCTTGAGTGTTTAAGGCTCCAGAAGTGCCAAATGAATGCATAAAAGTGAGAAGAGTCTATAGCTAAATCAGAAGTTCCATTTTCAATTTATGGTGTTGATTCAACCTCCAGCATTAGACATTACTCAGAACAGCACAGTAGAAAAGCAGGTAAACAAATCTCAGTCATATTCAACACCCGTGAAGACAGCAGTAAGGCTCCACAGACTATCCTTCATTTCAGCATGAAATGACCAGCATGCATTTATTGGCCACTAGAGAACACAGGACCTGTCTGATTTTTTCAAAAGTAATTTTAAAGTCAAACAAGATGAAGACAAGTCTTGTGATTCTCTGCTGGTAAGTTCATGTCTCAGCACAGCTTCATGCTTCTGTCCCCTGTGTGTGAGATGCAGTCAGCCTGAGATGAGAGCTGTGGTATTGGTGCATGGCATCATGCAGCTGGGAAAAACTGCTGTGCCACAGATTTTACTGTCTCCTGGGACCCTGCACTCAAAGGAGATATGCAAGGCTGCACAGTTACCCACTTGACTTTACCACTGTGGTGCCTTTCACAACCCATAGACAGACACTTTCTCACTAAAAATAAAGGTACTAAATAAAGGGTCCAAAGTCCCTGTGTGTCTTTCCTGAATGCCTAAGGGAAAAGCTACCTACAGTGAAAGGTATCCCAGACTTAGTCTTCAGAAGGGCCATAGATAACCTTCCTCCTACCTGAATGGGTCCAGGGAATGTCTGTTTTGATGAACCAGACTGAATGTTCCAGTCTTAGCTGGAGAGTTGCAGCTGAAAGCAAAGGGAAGTTTGAACCTTCTGTAGCAACAGGAACTCCAGAGACTGAATGTCTGTGAACTCTTCTTGGCTGCTATTCATGGGATGCAGCCAGAGAACCAAAGACTGTGGGCCAAGCACATAGAAACTGCAACCACACCAGGAAGAATGGCAGAGGCAAGGGCAGCGGAACCACTGTTCTTACATCTTGAAGCTGAAAAAAAATCAAGACAGAAGTATTTAGGACTCTTTTCACTTCCTAAAGCTTGCTGCATTTGCTAACACATCCTTTGCCCAGAAAAGCCATTTTCTCAACTATATCTACTACTTTGGCTTGGTTCCAGGAACAAACTCTTATTCCTGAATGATTGTTTCAAGTTCAAAGATTGCACTGACACACTACTCTCCAAAGAGACAAAAGCAAGAGTCCAGTATTGGTGGTGGACTTACAGAAAGATGGAGATGTGCAACAGGCCCAATGAGGTCTTCCAGCACAGAGTTATCCCTATAGCCAGGAAACTCAGTGTGTTCCTTGCCAAAGGATACCTTTTCTCCCTTCTGTCTCAGGAGAGAGATCACAGCTAAAGCACCAATAGTTTGTTTACACTAACCTCAGCTTGACAGAGATAAGTAGTAGCTTCACAAAGTGGTAGTGGACTAGAGTAGTCCTGATGCTGGAAGTGTAGCAGCCTTGCAAACCACCAGCATAAATATCTGGGTTCAAACTGACAGCAAATCTCACCTGCCTTTGCAATAAGAACACTGGGGACCCAAATGCGTGAGTCCTACAACATCCTTGCAAAGGCACCTGGGACAAATGGAGGCTGCAAAGAACCCTGAGACCAGGGTGTATCAGGTGGCTTCATCTTTAGTGACCTGTGGAGTTCTCCCAGGTTTCACAGCAAATGGGTAAAATCTGGGTCATGTGGCTCTTGTAGGTGAATATAGCGGGCAAGCTACAGATTTGCCTTTGAGTGTGACCCTGTGTAGGTGCAGCTGGTGAGGGCTGCTTGGGGTACTGCAGACCAGACTGCCCTGTGCCCCCACCGCATAGGAGAGGCTGTATACAATACCTTCCACCAGCTGGCAGTGGTACTTGCTGTAGTTCCCCACAGAATGAAGATGCAGCCAGTTACCGTCCTGTGTCTGAATGAAGTTTTTGACAAGAAATATCTCGTAAGGGGGAATGAGGACTTCCTTCTCAGATGTGTAGTAAGAAAAGCCTTGCATAGCTGCTCCCAGGCAAGTAGTCACTGTAAACAAAGTTTCATTCCCAAACTTCTGGGCTTCACTCCTGAGGCGGGAGGCGGAAGTGAAACGGCCAAATCGCACCCTGCTGCCTACCGTGGCCTCGATATATAAGTCTTTTACACCCCTGTGCACCTGGTAGCACTTACGTTTCCCCATGCTTTCCTTGCTGCTCTGCCATTCCTTCATGATCTGGATAGCAGTTGTTAGGTAAAAGTGAAAATATTTGAAACTGAAGTTTTGTCTGTAGTGCTCTGGAGAGATTCCTGCTGTAGACGTAGCCCAGTTCAGCTGAGAGTGCAGGGAAGAGTTCATGGTGTAAGCCATGAGGACTATGGCATGGCTGTCATGCATCTCCCTCAGGAGACCTACAGGGCTCTTTAACAAAGCCTCCTGAGCCTTCTTCCAGAGGCTCAAATAGTCCTTGTTAACAGCTATTTCCTTTTGAAAATAGTCTCCTTGCTCCAGTTCTTCCATCATCTCCTCTCTGCACCCCAGATACTGGTCATCAAAAGAATTCAGAGCCATATCCATCAGGATGTGGGACATAGCCTGCAACATAAAACCAAATTAAGATTAGCATCAGAAGTATGAACTTCTCGTGTATCTCTATAAATGCTAACCAAGTTTTTCTCTACCCTTTTCTCGCTGCTTTGTCATTATTGGCAGAGCAAGCAAGGCAGGTAGGCAACTTAGGCAAAGACCTTTCTGAGCAACCTCAGGCCTATACATCACCTCAGTCAGATGCCAGTCAGGATATCAGAGTTCTTATTTGATGTGAATCAGTCACATTAAAAACTTCAGGAGAGCTGGCTCTTCAGAGGGTGATGGTATAAAGCCTGTAGGACAGACCCATGGTCCATTTATAGCAATATTCTGCCCAGGATTATTAAGTGGTTTTGAAGAGGGAAAGAATAAGCAAATCAATGTGCTAGGGCAGTGTAACCTGAACACTCAGAGGTGAATTTCTTCTTCCTGTCCTTCCAAATCTCTTGGACATGTTTTGGCTCCAGGGAAATAATGTAAAGGACAATATAGTAGCAGTGTGACAAAACTTTTGTTCATCCAGTTTGTCTCAGTGAGACCAGCTGGACTTGTCATGTAAATAAATATTAACCATGAGTAAGGATTCACACAACTGGGTCCTATAACAGGAAAATAACCTCTAATATATTCTGCCTATGAAACAACCAGCTGATTATGTGTATCTAGCATTTCTAATTAATAAAAACCTTGTGTAATAAGATCTAAGAAATTGTGTGAGTTATGCTTTTTGATCACCTAGTAGACTAGTCAAGTGCTGTAGTCAGTTGATAGTTGAATTCTACAAGTAGCTAGATATTCACTTTAATCTCAAATATTCATCCTAGACATGTAACCAAACTGACACCTTTCTTAGCCTCTGAAGTTATACTGGCCCATAAACTATGCAGGGATTCAATTTATTTCTCATTGAATATCATAATTGCTTTGAGGGAAAGCTAAAAGGTCATCAAAATACACAGAACAATATTTTTACCATCCCATCCAACAACACACTGTTTTTGTCAGAGCCTCAGCTGAGACAGGTGGGAAAAGGAGAGGAGACGATGAGGTCTACTCATAAAAATACTGCAGGAAACCATCTGGCTCTAAACAAGAGGAAATTTCCAACCAAGCGGTTAAAAGAATTAGGACAGGTAAGAAATGGAACAGAAGAACTGAAAGCAGAAAAGTTAAAAATTAACTAAAAGCTCCTTAAAGAAACTGTTTCAAATGGGAAAAAAATTAAAAACTTATTTCAGTGAGGTAAGCAGTTTCACCATTTCAAATAAAGAACGTTTACCCTTTTTACCAATATTTGTGAGGAGACCAGCAACAGGAGGCTGCCCAGCAGCACTGGCTTCCCAGAGTCCACCCAAGGCACTGGAAAGAACATTTTGTTCGGGAAGAGGTCATTTACATCTGTTTCTTTCCCTTTTTTCCTGAACTGGAAAATTCTGCAGTTTGTAATTTGCACTCAGGTTTTGGTGACAGTTCTTCAACCAAAGATCATTCACCAGATTCTTACAGCAATTCAGAAGTCATTAATCATCCAAGCAGACAATTTACTGGTAGAAATGTGCCCACAATCCATAAGGAAAGGTCTGGTTGCACCAACTCCAGCTGATGTGAGTGTCTGTCACCTTAATAGCTCTTTTAATTCCAAGGTATCCAGTGTTCTTGTTCTTGCAAAAAGGAAGAAAATCATGGCTTGGAGAAGTCTAAGGCAGTTGTCCCTTGAGGAGTGATGTGTCAGGATGAGTACTCCCTGGTCAAGAGCTTAAAAAGCCCTTTTAAAGAAGTTGGCTCTCATAAAGCCAACACAGAAATGCAGAGTAGGTTGGGATCCCATCTGGAAGCAGAGATAACCTAACTGTCCTTCTCTTCCTTATCACCCCCTGGTTTCTAATCGTGTGTTGCCAATCCTACCCTTACACCACTGCAGAGCTGCACCTTGTTGGACTGTTTACATTGGGTACATGCAAAATGAGTGTGCAAATGCAGATTCTGTACTGAGTCAAACCCCTCTCTAGCAGCTGATTTCCAGACCCCTTCCAAATAACAGCACAGAGTTATTCCCTTTCAAAGCCCCATGGCCTCTGATAACTATTCTTTGTGGAAAAACAGGCAAGAGCTGTCAGGGCCTTGGTTCTGATCAAAGAGAAGTGAAAATCATTTTCCATGGCCTGCTGGTGATAGGCTGGGTGAGAGGTGCACCTCCAGTCATAGTGTGATCTCCTGAGATGAGATGTTTGTGCAGATGCTTAGATTCTGTGGATAGAGAGCATTTGCCAAATATTGCTGAAATAGGGTGAGAGGTGACATAAAGGTCTCACACTGGGCTGCTTCCAAAGCAGCTGATGCTGCTGACAGTATCTGTCACCACTGGGGACATAAAATGATGGCATGAAGAATGATACAAAGTGATAGATGGAGACTACCTACTTCTCCTTTTTGGAATGTTTCTGTTATTTTGGGCTGTATTTCAGAAAGTGGTTGTTTGACGGTTAAAAGTGAGTTCACAGAAGGGTTTGTGAATTAACTGAGGCATCTCCTCTTCTGTTTATGTAGAGATAAAACAGAGCTAAACTGAGATGTGTTCCCGTGGGAGCTTGGCAATCATGATAAAAAGCCCCTCTTAGATGTCAATGCAGCTGCATATAATCCAGTTGCAGATTATGTCCCAGGTTTTCCCTTCTGATCTCTTAGTGTATGTTTAGTGTGAAGGGAATCAGGAAGAAAGGCCACTGAATTTGCATTTTCAAATGCTTCAGAAGAAACGGTGTACTATTAAATACAATAAATACAATGGCCATAAGATGGCAGCAGAAGATTTGTAGCAGAACTTAGACTTGGAGCTGCATTAACCAAGCAAAAATCGAATTCCTCCATTTCAGCAGTAAATTTGTAATGTGATCTGTGCACTCGGATCCCCAAAAGTCATGACTTCAGCCCACGTAGGGATCTGGTGACACAGAGTAGATGACATAATGGAGGCCTCCCAGTACAACTTGCTTGAAAAAAATATTTACTGAAAAGGAGAGAAAAAATATAAAACTAACAGAATGATCCGAACATAGACAGGAAACTTTTTGTGCTAACAAAACCATACAACAACAACAACAAAATCCTTATTTTATTATTACACCAGACATTAGGATTTCACTAATCTCTCTAGTATTTTTCCAAGCAAAAATTTCACTTCTTCCAATAAGCACTCCGTTCATTTTAACTAGATGGTGTTCAGAGGAGAGTTTTGCTGTGAGCAGTGAAGCCCCATCAGTTTATGCCAATAGAGGAACCAGTCACAGGTCACAGGTGTTTGACCAAGACATGCAGAGATATTTATTAAATGTCTTCTCCTTGGCCAAGATCAGCATAACTTGCACAAGTCATAGCAGCTTGCCAAACAAGATGCTCACACTCCTTCTGGCAGCCATCTCTGTGGACTTATCCTGTGTCCTTACTTCAGGCCTAGGTCTTTCAGGAAAACACTGAACTGGGTAGATGGTGAATCAGGAAAAGCCTGGCCCTCCTTTCCCTCAGCATCACAGAGTGCTGGAAGTACAACCTGAATTTCGATATAGTCACTTCTGATTCACACTGGGACATGGGAGGGGAGGAGGAAGACTCATGCACCGGGTTCCTGCTCCTCAGGGCTCACAAAAGCAGGCTGTACCTTCCAGGCACCTCTTTAACCACACGTAAAGGCTGTACAGAGGAACAGAGAGAAGCAGCACACCGACCTGCTTTACATAGGCAGTGTTTATTGCAATCTGCAGCTGAGGATGGTTTCATCAGCTTACATGTAACCAGAGACTTGATCTCTGTCAGTCTCCTGAGGATCAGCAGTCCTTGTCCTTGGAGGTGTGATCTGCCATCTACCTCTCAGGGAAGGAAAGCTGACAGAGCATATTAAGGAAGCTGTGCAGAAAGTGCTAAGGTATAATATCAATACCAGAGAACAGAATGAAGTAGTGCAGAGGGAAGACAATATGTATATAAATACACGCATACATTATATATATATTTAGATACAAGTTGTCTTGAATAAATGAAATGCTGACCAACTTCAATCCATTCTTGAATCAATTTTCTTTTTGTTTATATCATAACCTTTTTTTTTTTTTAGCTGCTTAGACACTTCTAGTTTCAAGCATAAATGCTATAGCATTAGAGACAAACAGATTGGTTTTTTTGTTCTGCTTGGGTATCTTCAGTTTCACCAGAAACTGGTTAAAAAACCCCACAAACAACAAGAGATTTCCAAGTTGCTTCTTACAGACAGTCACCAAATTCAGTGTACAAATGGAAGAGCTCATCTAAAAGGAGGAAACACTCCTTAAACACTCCTTTTGGGATTTCTTTGTTGTTGCTATATGGGCAAATTTTGTGACAGAATAACCAGAAGAATGTACCAGAACCTGATTTCTGTCTATGCATTAGTATTTGCGCACTTCTGTCTTTACAAAGACATCCTACTGTGACGCATACTTAGTGTGATTATACTATGTGAAAATACTGAACTTTCCAGTAATTCTAACAGGAAGCAGCTGTTCTTCCTTCCTCCCAGTGAGCATCCCAGGATCAGATCCATCACATTTACGCACATTGTGTAACAACATCATAATTGTGGCATTCTTCTATAATCCCCCTGCATTTTTCAGAAAAGTACAAGAGGTCTAGTTTTGTTTCTAAGGCATGCAATAGTTTTCTTGAGACTAATCACCATTTTTTTCACCTATTGTGTCCCGGGGATTCAGATGGAAGGAAGTAAGACAGAGTCTTCTGGTGAAGCTCAAAATACCACAAGAGATGCCTAAAGAGAGACTTTTTTTGATGAAAGGAAGAAAACTAATGTAAGCTCAACAAGTAGGATAATTACTGCCTGGCATTCCAGCTGGTTAAGGAGACAATGGAAGTAGATGCCAGTTTAGATATTTCCCTTCCCTCCTTCTACCCACAACCTTCTTTCTCTTGTGGGGCTCAGAGTGTTCCAAGCCGAACAAATGAAGAGACCTTCCAATCCTTAGTATCTCCCAAAGAAACGGTTGTAGGCCAAGGAAAATCCTATTTGGTCAGAGAGATAGTCACAGGGGGGATAGTTTTCACAGCGCTCATGCATCTGCTCCATTGGACTTTTATAATACTCGAAGTACCTGGAGTAGACAAAGACAGAGATACCATTCTGCAGATTCAGTCAGTGCAATTGGAAATGGTTCACACACCTGACACTGACATGAAAGGAGTGATTCTCCAGGGTACCCCAACAGGGGATTGCTCATGCTGAGTTAAATATTTATGTACATACAAACAGGTTACTTAATCAATGCTGGGGAAAAAAAAAAAAAGAGATTGAACCCAGCTTACAGCAATTGCTCTGCAAGTTTTATCAGCAAAGGAGACCACAGAAGCAGTTAGGGTTTGAGGGGTTTCTTTGCCTTCATTCCCATTCCCCAACTACCCAGGAATATTTTTTGTTGTTAGTATTATTTATTTTTATTACATATTTATTTTTTATTTCCTGATTGCATTTATTTTTGTTCAGTTTCTACTTACTTTCCCACTAGCTATTATTGTCTTTTAGCTTAATCACTTTTCTCTCATCATCCTCACTTCTGTTGTAGACACTAGCCCCATGCAGCTAATTTATTTTTTTTTTTGCCAGTTAAGCATGCCCAAATCTTTTAGTCTCAGCTCTGGATGCCCTTCTTAGCTCCTCTTCTAGATTTGATTAATCTTTCCTGAAGACTGTACACAACATCACAGAAGTCCCACCACTCCCTCATGAATTTTTACTTTATTTCTGTATTAGAAATACCCCATTGCATGTTGTTGAATTCATATTTCTGGATCAACCTTATCTCATTATCAAATAACACACCAGGATGTCTGTCTACCTCTGTCCTTCCTGATTAATACTTAGAGCAGAAGCTACTTTTACAATGCCCCACCTGTAAGGGGGTTGTTGGTACAGACAGTACAGTTGCTGTTACTGAATTTCATCTTGATTTTAATCACGGCAGGTTTCACCATCAGCCCATTCCTCTGCTACAATACTGTGATCCTTCCCTCTACAGATGGGGCCTCCCAATCTTCTATTGTCTAAAAACAGCATTACCCTTCCAGTCCAAAGATGGATTGAATAAAAAATCCTTTTTCCAAAGGCCCGCACAGGAGAGTAGCTTAACAAACCCTTCCAGGAAATATATGAAGAACACCCTTGCATTACCTCAAATTTTTCAAATAGCTAGTATTTCTCCAAATCTTTATGTCTGGGATTTCTGCACAAGTAGATGTATGATCTACAGCTTCAGAAAGAACAGCCACTCTGATCTAGCCTTATTCCTGCAACAGAGCTGTGCTTCCTTTGTAGGAAGCCAGAGGCAATGACCAAGCTTCTGTGATTCTCATTTTCCTGGAAATTGGTTCTGATGACCCTGTAGGTTAGAGCAGCTTCTAACTTGTATCCTTCTGTCCCCATGGATAGCCCAGACAGCTAGCACAGTCTTTCTCCCTGGGAGGAATACTGGAGTCCAGCTATGAGCTCTCTAAAGGATATTAATGAAAAAAAGAACCATTTATCCATCACTGAGTCTCCTACAGCCTTTTTCCTCCAAAGTGTGGAGGTAATAACATAGATGTACTACAAAATAATACCTTGTACTGTCCTATTGCCTTCCCACCCCTCTTCAGAACAGGGACAGAGTCCAGCACTCAGCCTGACTCCTGAGTCATTACCGTTCATAGAGGCTGGATCTCTTCTGCCTCTTCACAAAGGCATTGGCAACTTCTTTTTTAATCTTGATGCCTACCAAGAGAGAACACTGCAGGTTAGAGATGCAGGGC